GTCTATCAACCTCAGGATCTATGGTCCGGTATTGCAGAGCAGAAGTCAGACAGTTTGGAAATTCCGGATTTTCTGTACAACTTGGAAAAGGGTTTGAGAGAGGCACATAATGTTGCTAGGGAACACCTCCAAACAGCCCAGCAACGCCAAAAGAAGATCTATGATCTCAGAGCCCAGGCGAGGAAGTATGTTGTTGGAGATCTGGTGTATATGCGGGATAGCACAAAGAAGAAAGGACAAAGCCCGAAACTCCAGCCACCTTGGAAGGGTCCCTTTGTGATTTCTGCCTGCTGTGGCCCAGTACTTTATGAGATCCAGGGGTCACGAAACAAGAGAATCATGCATCATGATCGTCTTAAGCCCTACGACTGTGATGTGATTCCAGCAAGAGTGAGGCGTCAAAGGAGCAGCATCCTGCAGAAGAGCAAGAATGCCTCTGATGGCTTCCTGATACAAGAGCCAGAACCACCTGCACCCAAGCACAGCAGTGAAACGGAATCCATTTCTTCTGATTCTGAGCTCCAAGAACGTCCGGAAAACGAGGGAAAGCGGCAGCCTGCTGCTCGTCGACGTACTGTAGAAAAACAAGAAGAGGACTCGAATGTACGTCCGACAAAGGAGGACAAGAAGAAATCAAGAAAACACATAAAGGAAGAGAGATTCGAAAGCCAGCGAGATACAACAGTTAGAGAGAAAAATTTATATATATATAAAAAAAAAAAAATGTGTGTTATTTAACTTACCGTTTTTTACTTTCTTAATTCCTGTTGTGTATTGAAGGGACTCAGTACTGTTAAGTGGGGGGGGGGGGATAGTGTAGCAAATAGACCATGTTCTCTTTAAGTAAATCCTCTGGGTTTACAGTATGCTGTTCTCATTCTTATTGGCTGTTGTTATGTCCTCATTAGAGTATGCGTAATGCATGCTGGGTTTTTTTGGGGGAGTAGTTTTTGTTTCTTTTGGGAGAGGTTGCTCGCATGCTCGCATGCGGAAAAGTTGCCGTCCCGTGCCGGAGCAAGAGCACCGACCATACAAATTGTGTGTGCTGTACTGTATGCAAGTTGTGCTGTGGTGAGTACACTGTATTAATACGCTGTTTGAAAGTTCAGTAAACTCCACGGAAAAGATCTTCTTGTCGTGCACTATTCTGCCCGCGTTTCCACACTGACCAACGCATCACAATGAAACTAAACTGAACCCACGACACTATATTTCCTGCACCTGTCATAGTCGTCCACATAACGTCAAAAAAATTACGTTCAAATGTTGAATGTCATATTGACGTACAAGTTGGGTCATGGATGGACGTTCAAATTGTGGACCTAGTTTGGACGTTGTATAGATGTCCAGAATTGGTCATGGACTGACGGACCTAATATAGATATGATCTGCACCTCTATCCGACGTCCAATGTTTAGTGGGCAGGCTGGCAGCTTATTCAGCCACGTGTGCTCGGAGCTCGTATATCTCCCCGCCGCGTGTTAGGATCATATTACACTACATTTTCACAGTACTCGCTGACAACATACCTGAAGAATGTGGAGAAATAATCACGAGAGTGATAAAATGGCATTTCCTCACTGAGAGCTAGTGGTGCAACTAGGGATGTGCGGTATACCGATACTGTGAAAATACTGGTATTTATTATTTTTCAAATGGTACAATATCAAAAGTTTGCTCAGTTCGGTATTTCATCCGCTGTTCCGATTTTCACCACTATGCGGCAGTGTTGCGCAAACTGGCGTAAAACCGGCAAGCGTGATAACAGACAAACGGCGATGGATCACACAGATGAAACGCGCTCTACACGTCCGAAATTAATAAATAACGAGAGTGGTAGAAGTGAAATATGGCATTACTTTGCCTACAAAAGTGATGAAAAGGGTGAACCCACAGACCTCAATGCACCAGTCTGCAAGCGCTGCTATAAATCATGTGCTGCCAAGGGAGGCAACACATCAAATCTTAGCAAGCATTTGTCACTTGCCCATCCTGATTTGTTCAAGAAGTTAAGAGAACAACAGGTGAGTTTCAACTGATTTAATTTAGACTTTTATTTTAAAGAAATCAGTATTATTATTTTTAGTATTAGTAATAGTGGTGCAGAGCATATTACTGCTGTAGAGAGAGAGAGAGATTTTTTTTAGAACAATGACAATAAAGTTTCTATTCTAAATTATTTCTTTTGACAGCCACAGAAAGGAACAAAAAAACATCTTCAAGCCAGCCCACTATTTCAGAGGTACTGTCAGTGACACGAAAATATGAAAGAAGTTCCAAAGAAGCAAAAAGACTTAACAGGGCTATATTTGCCTGTTTCCTTTTTTTTACCTATGGTATCGATTTAGTATCGATACCAAGGTATTAGATCTTAGTATCGAACCGAAGTCAAAATTGTGGTATCGAGCCATCCCTAGGTGCAACGGATGAAAAAACTCACGGTTCGGGTCGGATCACGGTTTTAAGTCACGGATCGGATCAATTTTCGGATCAGCAAAAAAATAAAAAAGACAAGACAAATTTAACTCTCCATTTATTTATTTAAGTATTTTTTGCCCATTAAAAAACATTCAACTGAACCCCTTATATAATCCACGCAATTATATAAAAACAAATTAAGGTGCAATATAGGACATGATAATTATTTCCTTTAATGTGGACACAATCAAAAACAACTTCAAATGCAATTTAAGGTATCATTGCTTCTTACTTTGAACATGGAGAATGAAATAAAAACTAGCTTATGTCCACATCATCAAAAAAGAAAGCAAAGCAGACGTGAGCTTATAACTTCAAATAATTTTTCAAAAAGATGAGGATGTCTACATTTTCTGGGGAGAGTGTAGACCTCTTTGCTGTAACTATGTCCCCTGCTGTTGAGAACACCCTCTCGCTAGGCACTGAAGTGCCAGGCACAGCAAGATAGCGTCTTGCCATTATGGCAAGGTGAGGGTATTTACATTCGTTGCTTTTCCACCACGTCAGTGGATCACCATCGACTGGATTGCCACTTGCTGCCTCATAGGATGTCACCTCCTCTTTGATGGTGTCAGCAAAAGCCTTGCTGCCCATGTCCTTCAGTGCAAAGGTCTCGCCAAAAAGCTCTGCCATTGCTGACTTCTTTTGAGGAGGAGATGTGTCTGCTCCTGTTGGTGCTGCATCTTGACCCTGCAGGGAAAGTTATTTTATTGATTAAAACAATTATTTTTTAAAATATTTCATAGACATTAAAATGTGGCAATAACTTTGAACAAAAACATTATCATTAAAAATAAAAAATATATAATTTCAAAATATTTATTTTCTTTACCTCTTCACAGTCTTCAGTGCCAAGACTGCTCACAATATCAGTAGTGAGATCACTGTATGTCCTCGGGCGTAGGGCAAGGTCTAGGTGAGACAGGGACTTGAACCTTGGATCAAGTGCAGTAGATCTGTGAAGGTAGTCCTGTAGGTTTGGTGGTGAAGTGTATCTGGGCTTCAGGTCCTCTCTAATGCCAGTCTTGACATCTCTTGTGATGCTGCTCCTCCTGAATCCTCACTTGGGGCCATGGATTGTAGGATCCTTGTTTTCAGAGGCAGGATCATGGACACAGATGGTGCAGTTTCAGTGCTCAATAGAGTTGTAACCATTTTGAGCAGTTTGAGCAGCTGGAAGACCTCCTCTGCCACTCTAACATCATCATTAGACAAGGTGACAATGTCTCTGACATTTTTCTTCAGGGTTTTGTCTGTTAGTGCAGAGTATATAGCTGCCTGCTGCTCAAGATAACGTCCCAACATATCATAAATGGAGCTCCACCTTCTTGTGACATCATGTATGAGCTTATGAGTAGGCAGCTGTAGCATATCTTGCTTGGTCTTAAGCACATGAGCAGCTGTTGAGCTTCGGTGGAAGTAGGAAACCACCTTTCTGATCCTTCCAAGGAGGCGGTCCATCTTACTCACTGTAATTCCCTTTTGGGATGCTAAATTAATTGCATGTGCAAAGCACCCTATCTGTGGGCCCAGTCCTGCCTCGTTCACTGCATTTATTTGGTTTTTAGCATTATCTGTTGTGACTGGGATATTAGTATTGGGCCTCTCTATCCTCCACTCTGCCACTGCTTCTGTCAGTAAGTGCGCCAGATTTGTGCCTGTGTGACTCTCATAGAGGGGGCGTGTCTGCAGTACAGGGCTACGTATCTCCCACTCCACTGTGATGTAATGAGCGGTCACGGTCACGTAGCTTTCCGTTGCCCTGGAGGTCCACCCATCTGTAGTTAGGACAACAGAAGATGTCTGGGACAGTTCAGCCATAACTTTAGACTTTTCCTGTGTAGGAGCTCCTACCAATTAGGCAGAATTCACATTCTCCCTTACCTATGCTCATGCGCACAGGGTGTGCTGATCACGCTGGCCCAAGCGGGGACTCTTGAGGGGCGCGGGCTTTGCGATGTTGTAGGCACGCTAAAATAAAGACACCTGTGTTTGGCGCCCAATTTGTGGTGAATGCCTCTTTACTTTTTCTGCCGCACTGCGGCTCTACAATGCAATATACAACATGCTACAAAGAATGCCGTGACCTTCTGAGGGCTGCATTGTAATGTTCCACCTGATTTATCTAAATATCTGAAACACATTTTCAACAATCCAAATGTATTCTCAATTACACACTGCAAAAACTCAAAATCTTACCAAGTATATTTGTCTTATTTCTAGTCAAAATATCTCATCACACTTAAAATAAGACACAATCAGCTACAGAGTAACTTTTCAGTGAGATATAGGAACTTGTTTTTAGACAGTGCATCTTGGATATCTTGTTAAGTGAAAAAGTCTTGAAAACATATTGTTTTGAGTCATATCTCACACGAAACAAGCTTTTTTGGCATTTCATAATTTTTTTTAAGTTGTTGTGTTATTTGTAAAAGATGAATCATCTTGTTTCAAGAAATAGACCTAACTTGAATTAGGACAAATCTGCTTTATTGAGAACAAATTGTTAATAACATGCCCAACATTGCATTTTTATGAGTCTCAGTATCTTAAGTACAGTGTATTTATTTTTCTTACATATCAATCAAACCATGTCAATGTGACATTGAAAAAGAGGCAAAACGCTGAAATTAGGTTTCCTTCTCAGTTGTGTTGCGCTGGACAGACTGCACCAAAAGTAAAATAAAAAGTAAATAGAACAATCAATTGTTTGCTAGTGCTCAAAAACATTATTTCAGCCCCCATATTCACAAAAGACTCAAGAATTATGTTTGAGGATGTCTGTGAGATCATACTTCACTGGAATGTACTTGCTGTTATTAAAGTTTACATAGTAGTATGCTGTATAATAAACAAGATTTCCAGCATCCACAAAAATATTTGCCTGAGCTAGACAGGGAACTTCTACCTCGTAAGCTAAATACTGATCATTCCACCCAACTGTAGAGAGAGGCTGGCATTCAAAACAATACACGGATGCATTTACAATATAGATGTTTTTAACAAGTGCAAACTCTGGAGTATCATTGATAACATCAGAAATAACCAAAGATTTTTCACATGTATGTTTATTTCCATGTAGCATAATCCACTGTACGGAAACTACATGTTCAACTTGCTCAAAGAAGTCTTTAATCTTTTCTTCTACATAATGAACATTTTTCACCTCAGAGGCTGGACCCATGTCGACTTCACTTGAAAAAATGGGATGCTTCTCGTGCACATTCTGACTACATTCATAAAGTTGGTTGTGCTTCACGAGAGATTTACAAATATTCTTAAAACTACTTTTCAGAGCCCACTGCTTGAAGAAACAATGTTTTGACTCAAAGCGCATACACATATGCCTCACTGTAGGACCAAGAGCCTTAATCTGAGAAGGAAGATGCAGTAAATAATGCTGTTTAGGTATAATATTTTCATCTGGAAACAGTTGTTTGAAATGTTTTAAATGCTGCTCTATTAAAAGCTTCAGTCTGGAGAGAGTTGAAACGGCAATAATAGGTGAAAACAGAATTTTGACAATCTCTAACATCTTACGTAGCATTTGTGTGTAATGATTTTCTCCAATTTTGTCAATAAGAAATGGCAGGATCTTTAACAAAACCAGCATCTGCCCAGCTGACTGTTTCAATTTATTGTCATTTGATGACAGTGTATTGACAGATATGGGGCAAGGCTTATCCCTCACATCCACAGGAGAATAAGGGAAACACATAATTGCACTGTTGAATGTGTCTAAGTTCATTTGCCCTGAAAGCACAAGATTATTTAAAACACATTTGATTTCATATGGGGCCACGCCTTCAAGAATCACATGAATGATGTCTTGTGGAGTTTGATTGATTATATCAACGTAAGGAGATTCTGTTAACTTGCTTCGCCTGTTTATACCATACGTTATTTTTAGATTGTCTTTCAGAAAGTCAGTACTTGCCTTTTCAATGTCATTACATTGCTTGTTATGACTGGCCATGGTCCTTTTAACAAATAAATCTTCATTAAATTGTTCCTGCATGTCTTCAAAGTGGCATTCGCAGTGCCTGCATTTACTGTAGGCAAAACCAACTCCTTCCTTAAATCCAGCCACTTCATGCTGAGCTAGAGTGTCTCCACACACAGACATGAGTGCCCCATGAATTGTCCTCTCACCACTTGCAGTGACAACTTGGACACCATCACACAGCTCAATCAAGTCACAGTTAATTCTCTCAAATATCTCATCAATACCACAACGGGAAAGATCTTTTGATTTTACCATGGCAAGCAGACGAATAGCAGGAAGTCTTGATCTGTACTTGGGGCTGATGTTACCTAAGGTGTAATAAATCAATAACAACTTGTTCTTGTTTGCCCGAGATCCAAGAGGATTGCATAGCTCAATTTCATCTGTATATAAAATCAACTGCAACGCTGTGGGGACTTTCATAAACAGTGGGTGCGACTTAAAAATGTCTCCATCAATGAAATCATGACAAAAGCCATCCTTGCATGGCTTTGGCCTCTCGTCAATCAATACAAGCATTCTTGGATGTGATAGCAGCTGCTCCAAACTTTTCACCAACGGTATATAATGAAAACAATGGTCCTTAATGGCAAGAACTCTGTAGTCTCCATGCTTCACATAACATACTGTTTGTTTTGCGACAATAATCTCTGGTTCAACTGGTTTGAACAGTTCTTTGATGGTCTTGTCCTGCAAATGGGTGGAAGCAATTTGAGTGAAAGGGTCAACAAACTGGTCAAATACCCCCACTGCATCACTCTTTAGTTGATCCAGGTCCCCAGAATGTCTCTCAATCATGTCACTCATTTGTTGTTTTAGGTGCTCCAATAATACGGCCTGATATTGCTGGACTCCACTCACGATGTGGTTAACAGCTCTCTGGGAAGGAGGAAAAAACAAAGGAAAATACTAAATTACAGAATTCATATGAAAACACAGTCAACATGCAAACTCACAGAGACACTTTTTGAAAATGGAACCCTTCAATTACATAACGTTAGTGAGATGCAATGATCAAAATAAGTTATTTCCTCAAAAAAAAAATTGTAAATAATAATATTGCCTTCTGCAGCTTTAAGACCTTGTTTTCACATGATTATAATGCATTTTGAGGAATCGGATCATAGGTGGAAAATGCAAATTGAAAGTCTGTGTTGTGTGTATTCTGTTGTCTCCTTAGCTCATAAGGAAATATAGTGGATAGGCAGATTTTGGCTGCAACATACATGTCTATTTCCATATATAGTGGGGGAGTGAGATCTGAGTGGTCACTCATGAAGTACATGGAGACACATTCTAATGTCAGGTGTACCTAAAGCTGTCCATTTATGATCAGATCATTCAGGATGCCAGGTCTGAACAGTGCCCAAGTTATTCAGCAGTTTAAGCATATTGCTTTTAAGTTCTATAACAATGAAATACAATTCAATTGAAAATTAATGGCATAAATTACTTGTGTCAGTCGATGGGTTTCCTTGGTTTGAAGAAGAAATGCAGTTGCATGTTTATAAATGTCAAGATTCATGTGACCCTCTCCATCTTCTTGATATCCACTCTGAAACAGAATAACAAACATATCTATTAAAACTGAAATAAATAGTTGCGTTGGTAGGTAGCAACCATCAAACAATATTGCATTCATTAGCTGGATAAGCTAGCTAGATTCATGCTCATAAGGTACAAGGTAGATGTATTTTTACTGATTGATGTCTTTAATTTGAGCTTGTAAAATTACAACTAAAATGACAAACAAAACAGTACTTGAGAATAGATGAATAAGACTAGCAAAGCACACGGAGAGCGCACACCTCCGCCAATCACCTCATTACAGTTTAGATTCCTTGACCATGCCTGATCACCCCCAAAATTGAATCACTTATTTATTGGCCCATTTCTGACATTTCCTGAAAAAATCTGTCCATAACTTTTTGAGTTAAGTTATTTTGCTAACAGTTAGACAAATGCCACCAAAAACATAACCTCCGGAGTTACTAAGAAAAAAAGTAAAGAAAAGAAAAACTAAAGGAAGTAAGGCCATATACCCTGTCCACAAGCATTGAAAAATTACCAGATAACTTTCCTAAATTTTTTATTTGGTATTTAAATGACTAACATTACTGATTTTTTTCCTATTGAGTCTGGCAGCTTCGAAAAGAATTATATAAAAGTTGTTTCTGTTTAGAAAAATAATTATATTCTTTTAGAAAAAAGTCACAAATAATGTTAATGTTGTCAGTAGTCTTACTGTTACTTAGGAAATGTAAATAGTTATTTATAACTGATTACTCATTTAAAAAATATACAAAATAACTGATTGGTTTGTATGAAAGCAATTAGTTATGTCACCAGTTATTTACTGTCGGACAAGTTACTGACAATTGGAAATTTGTTAAGTTTAGTAGTTTCACCTTTAAAAAAAATTACCAATACTGAAAATAAAAGTAAAGTAATCAGTTACTCAACCGCTAAATTTTGTGTTACTTTTAATATTAACTTTAATGCTCTTGTTAATGTGAAAACGAGTATTTATTTTTGTGTTTAATTTTTTTTTTTTTTTGACGGTAACTCTGAACACATCATGATGTCATTTTGGTTTGCTTTGCCTAATAGTCATTTTCTAAGTTGACCTTGAACACATTATGATTATATGTAAACATGATAGCGACCTATTCAGTTAGCTGACTGGCTTTTACTAACTGATTTTAACACGTATTTCAACATTAGATCACCTTTTTTTTTTTTAAACTAACAGGACTTTCTGCAAAGTTTGGGTGCATTCACCGTAGAGCTTAGATCGGGCCCAAAAAATTAAACCCGACCCTACCCGAGCCCGTGCACCTTGTGTCCGAGCCCAACCCGGTCCGACACATTAACTGTAATTATGAGCCCGAGCCCGATTTAAACCCGACTATTTTTTAATACGTGAGCCGTTGTAACAGACGTTCTCAACTACAATTCTAAGTTGTTTGAACTACAGAAATTA